TTTTGGAATATGAAAAGTCTGAAATTAGAAAATGTTATAGAAATACACTTGGTGTAAACTCTTTAAAGTGCAAAATACCTTGGTTTTGTGGCCACATGAAAAAAAGTGATCTGCTTGTTGACTCATGATTCTCACTGTTTTTCCCATGGGCATCACTGTATGCCCTTTAGGTTATGGCAATTAGTGAATCGTCAAGGTTGTGTGCTTCCTTAAAGAAGGAAGATGTTCCTGTAAAGAGGCTTATTGTTAACCAGATTCTTCCGCCATCAGCCTCAGATTGCAAGTTCTGCGCAATGAAAAGAAAGGTATTCCATCTCAAGTTTTACTGTTTGCCTTTTCATGTTACTGTGGATGAGCTTGGGTCCAAACTTCTAGGTTGACTTGCAATACCATGTACAAGCAATTATGAACTCAAGCTATCTATTTTATCATATGAATTGTCATGCATCACAGCAGATTACTCATATAAATTAATATACATTGATATGTTGCCGAGATACCTATTCTACATATAGTTTTGAAACTGTCTCCGTATATGATGTCCAACGTGGTTAAAGCATTGACTTCGCTCCTCTTCAGGCATTCTCCCTGTTTTCTTTTCAATTCATAATTTGCAAATTCCAAGTCTCTTTCTTTTTGCTTTCTTTTTTCTTTTAGTTTATGCAGTTAATTTTCTCGTTTGAAAATTACATTCAAGTTTTCTGCTGAAAATTACAGCTGAAAGATTACTAATTAGCAACTTCCAGTTTAGTCTAATATGAAATGCTTACTGAGAATTTTCTCCATGCGGAAGATCACTTTATTTTTCTTTAATATGCATTTGAATTGACACCTTCCTGGACTCTTCGACATATTTCTAGCTAGGAAAAACTGATGGTTGAAGTATCACAGGACCAAAGTCGTGCTCTGGATATGATCCAGAACGACCAAGAGCTCTCTAGCCTGATGTTGGTCCAGGCACCCCTTGTTGATGTTGAGATAAGAGGTGTTCCAGCTCTTCAGTTTTTAGGGGATATCGTGTGGAAATGAAGAAAAAGAACTTCACACTGCATCAACTGATCAGGTACATTCTCCTATAGACTATCCATGTTATGCGATTTACCTGTTTATCCATTATGTTACTTGGACTCTAGAAGTTCTAGTGGTATCCAGAAATCCCTTCACTGACATTTTGATAATCTCCGCTGCTTTCTACCTTAGTTGCCTCTGGGGATTAACTGGTTCGACACAGAACTATTGCGTTGGATCTTGTCCTTTTCTTCTTTCTTTGGGATGACCGAGATGACATTTCTTTTATCGCATAGACAAAGTATTAACTAAATTATGATATTCTAGAATAGTGGAAATGTAAATGAACATATGCTACAACCATGATCATTTTCTTTTCCTAACGTCTTTTGGTGTAATCTGCACTTTGATTTATGCAAGCCTTTTTCTGAATGATACAGATGTTGCAGGTGGCATTTGTCAACGAACTGCGTTCATGGACTATGTTGTCTATCATCTTTTAATGCTCTTGCTCTAACATGTGAACAAAAAAATCATGCAATACAAGTGCTTTTTGCTGCTGAGGTACAGGTTAATACTATCTCGTCTACATTGGTATCAAGAAAATACACTAGGAGTTGCGGTTGTTCCAAATGACAAGCCAACAAAAAGAGAATGAAAAGAATAACTCTTTCATTTTAGTGAATTGATATTTGAAGTAAAAAAGAAATGTGGCAAAGCACTACTGTAACAAGTAAAATGGATGTTAGTTACCTGTTAGTACCAATGAAAACAAAAAGTTACCTGTTAGTAATATTTTTCTTTTTTTTCATACATATTGAACTTGCTTTGTGTATAAATGAGCTTTACCATGCTTTTTATTTTGTTGATTCCATAACTACAAAGAAATTGTCTTTGTGCGTGTATAAGTATGCCTTTGCTTTTATATTCTGTCAAACTTGGTTTACTAGATTCTTCCAATAACCGATAATATACTATAATGCTTGCCTTATTCCCAGATATCGTGCCCTCTGCCTCAACCTTTTGCAGAAATGTATTAATGATAGTTTGTTTGGTTGAAGGTGAGCTCTCGCTTGCATAAGCCGAATGGATACGGTAAGATTTATTCCAAAAGAATATAATAAAAATTGTATTCACCCATCCAATTTACGCGATTTTTTGCGGAACAGATTTTATATGCAACAAGGACAATCCCCAAGAACCAGATTTTATAAGTTTTCCCAGGTTATTAGTTGCAAGCAGAGGTAGTATAACCTTGGTCTATCTTTTTGAAGCAGAGGTACCAAAAAGTGTTTTCAAACTTTAAAAGAAACAGAAATATCTTCAAGATGAATGTGCAGCATATGCGATTTCTATCGACTGACATGAGACAGATCTCTCGTAATCTCCCAGGAGATAAAGTATGATGGAATTTGTACTGCTCTGCCCTGTAATAGGACAGAAGATTTATCGAGATGCATGCAGACCAATTTACTATGTCACCAGCGCGCTAACAGAGGCAGGGCAGATGAAATGGCCAAGGTCTGCTTCCACTAATACCAGACTTGGTAGGATCAGGAGAATGTTTTATAGCTCATCTATGACTTTTAATATGTTGTTGAAGTACAGGCAATTCAAGATCCATCTCATGGCATAGCCATCCGTGCAATATCAGATTTCAACTTTAGTCACTTAATCCACAGGGGTGGCAATATCACATCCCTCCCTTTGTTGTAACTTGTACCAATATCTGCGACACTGACATGGTAACTTCGGAGCTAGATACTCACTGTAGTTGTGATTCCATACCTGTTTGCGCACTCTGCCTTACATACAGATGCAAACTGCAGCATAGGCTCTTTTACAAGCTAGAGCAATAAAATACGCCTGCATTTGGCCATCAGATCAACATTTAATCGTGGTCTCTGCACTTTTTTTGGTTGAGGAATTGGTCTCTGCATAGTTTAAAGAGGTCATAAGTTCGGGAGTTCTTGCTTCACAAAGGCTTTTCCCACAGCCACAATTTGCCTTTGGAGGTGCATTTAGATTCCAAAATTTTGGTGTTATGCCAAAACTGTGTATCTGAATCACTTGAGATACTGTTTACGTTTCCCTGCTAATGCCATAGAAGGTTGAACTCATCTTAGCACAATTAATACAATCACTCATGTCCAGAACCTCGCAATCTATGACAAAATATAGAACAGTCAGTTGAGTTTGGGTATTGTAACTGTTAAAAAAGGTTTGGGTATTATAGCTGATTATGGCAACGAAAAGTTGTAATCGGCAGACACGGTTTATAGCTCTGTGAAGCATATGTAATGGCTAATATCATGTATTATCACATCAAACAGCTAGTTTTAAGTTTTGACACACTATCTTTCCAACAGAAAGCATTTTTTACCCATATTGGGCCCAACAAAGAACTTTTGCCCATGTGGCACTTTTTTCATAGTATGTAGTTAATATGGCACCAACGGAGACAAATTTATATTTAAGATTTCAGTGATGGCTTCTCTTTCAATAATGATTCACCAGTTAAAAAGAATTAGGTGTCTCCAAATCTTGAAATCAAAGAGTCCCATCTTTTACTCTTTTCAAGGGTACGAGGGAATGGCAGAGCACTGAAAACTATCCTAACCACTACGGAAGACAAACTTCCAGATAAGAACTGGAATTTTTGCCACCTAATCATTGATAAGTGCAGGTCTAAGTTTTTCAAGTTGAGAAGGACTAAGACAGAATTATTTGGAGTGCAAGTTCAGCAACGTTACCCAGGAAGCGGATATAGAGGTGAGGTTTGATACACAAGTCATCCCAAGAGAGGTAGTTTCAAATATCTTGGATCTATAATACAAGGTACCGGGGAGATTGATGAGGATGTCACGTACCGTATCGAAGCAGGATGGATGAAGTGAAGGCTCGCTTCCGGTGTCTTGTGTGATAAGAATATGCCGATGAGACTTAAAGGTAAGTTCTACAAGGTTGTAGTTAAACCGACTATGCTGTATGGAGCGGAATGTTGGCCTATCAAGAACATTCATCTCCAGAAGATAAAAGTAGCTGAGATGAGGATGTTAAGGTGGATGTGTGGGCATACCAGGTTAGATAAGATTAGAAATGAAGTTATTCGAGATAAGGTGAGAGTGACTCTTGTGGAAGATAAGATGTGGGAGGCGAGGTTGAGATGGTTTGAGCATATTAAGAGGAGAAGTATAGAAGCCCCAGTCAGAAGGTGCGAGAGGTTAGCCTCAGTAGGTATCAAGAGGGGTAGAGGTACGCCTAAGAAGTCTTGGGATGAGGTTATTAGGCGGGCCATGGTGCGGCTGGCCATAGATGGGAGGATGTGGAAGTCGAAGATTAGGGTAGAAGACAAGTAGGTAGTCGAGTGTTTCTCTTTATCTTACTCAGTTCGCTAGCATTAGTGTTAGTATGATATCTTTTTATTCGTAGATTGTTATTACTACCTATACTTTAACTATTTTCTTGACTTGGGTCTTATTTTATCTTGTTGTTATTCGTACTTGTTGCCATTACATTTTTTTCATCCGTTCTCCGGCCGAGGGTCTATCGGAAACTGCTTATCTGCCCGTCCAAGGTAGGGGTAAGGCTGCGTACATCTTACCCTCTCCAAACCCCACTTGTGGGAACTTACTGGGCTTCTTGTTGTTGTTGTTGTAATCAAAGATAAGTGCAGGTTAAACCAGTGAGTTCTATCAAATTCAGTGAAGCAGATCTATGAGGCAAAAGTATCACTAGACACTCATGTTATTTGAACTCCGCAAATTTGAGCTATTCTAGTTTGGACATCAAAAATGCAAATTCAAGATCTATATATCAGAAACATACCTCCAATTAACAGTCATCTCAATCAAGTTATTTCATGGTGGAAGGAAAGACATCTTAACCAGTCATTAACAGCCAAAATTATGAAGCTGGATATGATAGGCAGTCAGTAAGGGCCAAAATGAAGAGGCTGCATAAAAGCATTCATCTTGAATTTTTTTTTTTTTTGATAACCGTGGTGTCCGGACCAGCTTGCGCACACCTCGACTAATTCCACGGGATACCTGACACCTCCCACCAGCATCAGGTATCAGGTAACTCTATCCATCAAGGCTTGGATAGATGGGAAGAAATCATCTAGTATTTGCCTCCACTGGGATTTGAACCTGAGACCTCATGGCTCTCACCCACTTCATTGACCACTAGGCCACACCCTTGGGTGCAAAAGCATTCATCTTGAATTGAAACTGCAAAAGATGAAAACTGTTAACAGTATGAGCAAAGTACTACAGTTGGAATCATGTCCTTGCAAAGAAGACATTCTAAGCTTTTATTTCCATCCAACTGCAACCAGGCAGCTTGCCATATCCCTTCTCTTCAACCCCTTTTCTCAACCTCTCAGCATCATCCCACCTTCCCGAAGAAGCATAGATATTTGCTAGAAGAGAAAGATAGCCCGAACTCTCAGGTTCCAACTCAATACAATGCCTGGCTGCAGTCTCCCCAAGCTCTAAGTTGTTATGCAAACTGCAACCGAGAAGCAATGCTCCCCAGACACCAGCATGAGGCCGCATTGGCATGCTTTTGATCAACCCATGTGCTTCTTCTAACCGCCCTGCCCTACTTAAAAGGTCAACTACTATAGCGTAATGATCAACTGTGGGAGAAAGTCCATACTTTTGCAAGGAGATAAAGCAACGGTATGCTTCTTCTACCATACCAATGTGACTGTAGGCAGTCAATATCCCTGTGACTGTGACTATGTTTGGGTTAATTTCAGCATTCATCATCTCATCAAACAATTTGATAGCATCATTAGCCCTACCATTTATTCCACATCCCAGTATCATTGCAGTATATGCTACCAAATCCTTCTTTTTCAAGCCGTGAAAAAGCTTGTAAGCTTTATCGACACTTCCACATTTTGCATACAGGTCGATCAAACTGGTAACCAAGTAGTCATCCATTTGAATTCCAGTTTCATTCAAGAAAGACTCAATCCAAGAACCAAACTTTAGATCTCCCAGCTGAGAACAAGCAGAAAGTGCACTTGCCAAGGTCATTTTATCAGGTTGTAAATCTAACTGAAGCATTTCATTGAACAGCTGCAGAGCTTCTTTTGCCTGGCTGTTTTGAGCATAACAAGCTATCATGGCATTATATACGAGATGGTCTTTCTTCTTTAATCGTCCACAGAGTTCCTCAGCTGATTCAACATCTCCACGCTTTGAGTATCCAGAAATCAATATGATATATGAAACATTATTCTTTTGGTCCATTGCCTCAAAAAAACTGCGAGCTAATTCTACATTCCTACAATCTACATATCCGCTGATCATCGCATTCCATGAGGCAGGACTTCTCTCTGGCATCTCTCGAAATAATGCATATGCTTGCTCCATATTCCCCACCCTCGCATACCCAGAAATGATTATGTTCCAAGAAATGACATCTTTCTCTGGCATTTCATCAAAAACCCTTTGTGCCTTTGCTAAGTCACCAGATTTTACATATCCACCTAGTATTGAATTCCATGATACTATATTTTTCCCGACCATCTCCCTAAAGATATTATGGGCAAAGTCCATATTACCCACTTTTGAATAAAAATCTACTAGAGCTGTCTGCACATAGACAGCATTACAGAAGCCATACTTGTAAACTTGTGCATGAATAGATGTCCCACCAGACCTGTACAAAATCCTAGCACAAGCCTTTAAAGCAGATGATACAGCAAAAGTGTTGGGACTAACCCCACATCTCTGCAACTTTCCATATAAATCAATGGCGTCCCTGAACTGACAATGCCGAGAAAAGAAGCGGATGGTGGAAGCAACTGAGAAGACATCTAAATTTTGCACATGGTTGAGGATTAGCTTAATATACCGCGAGGTATTCCAAGAGTAATCGCTTGTAGAGTTAATTATGTGCTGAACTAGTGAGGACTCAAGATTCAACAGACCGTTAACAAGTATTGCAGCATGGATTTGCTTTGTTTGATTAACAGACAGAGGCTTAGCCAATAAGGTAGTAACTTTAGAGGCCAGCATTCAAGGGCGGCTCTAGGGTAAGGCAGGTGAAGTCCTTGCCTCTAAGATTCCCAAATATTTAAGCTTTGGTTTGAAGTACTACTATATTATTATATAATATATATTTATTAATAAAAATTCAAATTTTAATATTTTTTAAAAAGTTGGTAGAGATAGGATTGAGTTAGTTAATATGATAAATTTTTCTCTTTCATTAAATTAAACAATATATTTACCTTTCAATTCTATTTTTTCTTCCTCTAGGTATAACCTTTTTTTTATATTTCTCACGATTTTACTTTCTAATTTCAACTTAAGTTTTCTAAATTAGCAATTATTTTTTATCACATTTGATTGATTCATACATCAGAAAGAAAGTTTTATGTCTCTTATTTTTTAACTAAGAAATCCCTTAGTCAAGTGTCGAAGGTACAAAACTCAATGAATTACGGGCTCACCAATTTACCATTTTCACTTCGTATCATATTTTGTACAAGAGAGAGTTCAATATCATCACGTGTTCCTAACCCACGCATAATGCATTACGCTCTCACGACTAGATCAAGGCCATGTATGATTTTTAGTGTCTCATTATTATGTAAATTTTATAAAAGAAGTTTAAGGATCTTTTAATATATTTTAGTTTTTAGACCACAGGTTATGTTGAGACCACATGTTATGTTGAGACCACAGCCTCCCGAACGTGTTGTTCAACTAACTTCATTCACATTTGATAACTGAATGACACGTTCGCTATCTTTAATGTTCTTGTCATTTATTGTCTTATCTTATTTGAGATTCTAGAAAATTTGATTAAAAATATCATGGATGGATGGGTGGCTTAAGGGGGGAGCTAATAAAGCCTTGATTTAGGCCCTCAAAAAGTTGAAGTCCCAAAAATTTTTAATAGTGAATTTTATATTTTTCGCTTTGGTTTAGACAATATTAAAGTTTGCAGAAAAAATAAAAAAGTACAAAAATTTCTTAAAAAAAGAAAGAAAGAAAGATTGTATACTCTTCAACAATAAAAATATTTTATAACTTCGAATTAAACTACTTAAATCATCATATAAGTAAATAATATTTTTACAACAATATTATCACGACCTGATTTTTGACTGAGTCATAACCAACACTCAGTGCATTAACTTGACCAAGCGAACCTTCTAGTCTATTGTTTCTATTTTATTATGCTGGTAGAGACATTTAAATATAGAAAGCCTCTATTGTTTCTTCAAAAATAAAACAAACTTCTTTGAAAACATTCTTTATAAATGCAACGTAAAATTTCAAACATTTGATAAAACAATAAAACATCTAACTTTAAATTTTCACTCTGAAATGTCTACAAAACCTCTAAAGGATATGAGCGGATTGGGGGATATAACTCACTGGATAATCCTCAACTAAACAACAACAACAACAACAACAACAATAATGACCCAGTTGAATTCCACAAGTGGGATCTGGGAAGGGTAGTGTGTACGCAAACCTTACCCCTACTCCGGAGGAGTAGAGGAGTTATTTCCGATAGACCATCGGGTCACGACGATGGTAAAGGACAGTGGAGCAGTAACATCAAAGGAAGTCAGACAGATAACACTAACAACATGATAACCAGAAAGCAAAAAAAAAGTAATAACAATAATATAATCCTCAACTACAAATAATGAAATTAAATTAGAGGGCTGGAATCAAAGTAATGAACTCCATATCCTATAACTAAGCTCGCCAAAAGTCTGCTGGAATGGAAAGAGGTCTTAGCTCTTAGCATGCTTATCTGTAAAACCTGTGCCTACATTGACATACGCCAATATAGGTTCCAAAGAAAATAATGAAACGTTAGTACACTATAGCGGCACTCAATAAGTAAGACAATCCCCCCATTAAAGCTAGAATGAGACTCTGAAAGAATTATGCATGCATGATCATGTATTATTCTAAATAAAAACGTATTATCAACGGTTGAAGAAAACATCTCATGTTTCCTTTCTAAAACCTTCTTTAATTTTTTTTTAATGAAAAAACTCTTCTTTCTTGCTTTTCTTTTTGGGGAATACCAAGGACTCTGACATAATTCTGATTCTTGAAGAAGTACCACCCAACCCGATTTTCTAGGCCCTATTCCTGTGGTGCCACACAACTTAAGTTTCTAGTATACTCGCGTTCTTGTGTCTTACCAGGGCTATTTTTATAGTTCCCAAACTAATGATGCACTAATAAACCTACTCAAGCCCGAATAGTGTCTTACCAGGGCTATTTTTAGGAATAATTACTACGTTAGCTAGCCAATCAGGATAATTTACCTCCCGAATTGAACATATATTCAGTAACTGTTACCTTTTCTTTAACAAACTTGTTCCTGACCTCAGCTATTAGCCATTTCTTCTGTTTTACCGGAGGGAAGTTAGGGTCCAAACTTAACTTGTGGAAAGCTACTTCCAACAGAATACTTGTCATATCTTTATGAAATCATGCAAAACAATAAATGTTAATTTTAAAAAAATCAATAATCTTAAGTCTTAGTTCGAGGTTGAACCCCATTCCCAAATGGAACTTTCTTTCCACGAATTCTGCGAACAAAGCAACTTATTCGAGCTCTTCTACGATTGACTTCGTCACATCCATTTCTTTCAGTACCTGGAAAGATCTAGGTACCTGATAAAAATCTGATTGTCCTCTTCCCCATCACCTTCAATCGGAATGGGAGCAGGCACCGAATCTTGTAGTTATTATTTACTTGTTCCTCCGCCTTGCTGCTGGATGGAGTTACTACATTAATTTTCCTTGTTGCAGGTTGATCACCTCTGATCTGCTTGATCCTCTCTGGCATTGGGAACTTTACCAACTGATGATATGTTGATGGCACAACCTTTATTTCATGAATTCATGGCCTACCAAGGATCCCGTTATATCCCATATCGTCATCCACCACCTTGAACAAGGTGGTATTCATCACGCCTTCGAGATGCGTGGGTAATAAAATCTCCCCTCGAGTTATTACACTTGTTAAATTTAACCCGGCCAGAAGCTTTGTTGCTAGAATTATGTTCCTGGTTAACTTTTCTTGTTCCAAAACTCTCAACTGGATGATATTAGTTGAACTACCTGTATCAACCAACACACGCTTAATTTTAAAATATAAAATATTAAGTGATATTACCAGAGCATCATTGTATGGTAAAAGAAGGCCATCAACATCTTCTTCCGTAAAGGTGATTTCATCATATTCTGATGCTTCTCGTATCCTCTTGCCATGAGTTACAGATATCTTTATCTTCTTTGCTGCCGAAAATGTCACTCCATTTACTTCAACACCATCAATGATCATACTTATTATTAGACGAGGAGACCCTGTAGCCGGTTTGGCTGGTTCCACAGCACCTCGATTCCTCCCATAATTTTTCTTGGCCCGATTACTTAGAAATTATCTAAGATGACCATTCTTCACTAACGTTGCAACCTCTTCACGAAGATGCCGACAGTCTTCAGTCCTGTGGCCATGCGTCCTGTGGAATTCACACTATAGATTAGGATCCCTGTGACTAGGATCTGACCGAATTGGTTTCGGAAATCTTGCCTTCTTGATGTTTCTCATAGCGGAAACAAATTCTACCAAGATAATGTTGAACTTGTAATCCGACAACCGAGGATATCCTGAATCCCTAGACCCTAAAGGTTCCTTATCTTGCAAAGTTTTGTTACTCCAACCACGATCCACTCTTCTATCTGATACAAACATGTCCGATGACTGCAAACCTTTATTTCCACACCCATCCGTCCTTTCGTGAGGCTAAACACGACTCTTAGAAGACCTTTGGTCTACATCAAAATCAGTTTTGAAGTTTTCATGATTCCGATCATGATTGCGACCTTTGGAAGACACCGAGAACTCAATTAATCATCTTCAATTCTGATTTTAGATTCATAACGATTATGGACATCTGCCCATGTGGTTGCCCAAAACTCCAACAGGCTTTCCTTCAATTTTCTGGAGATATCGGAACTCCTGGATTGAGACCTTTGGTGAATGCTTCAGCTGCCCACTCATCCGGTACTGCCGGCAACAACATCCTCTCCTTTTGAAATCGGATTATGAACTCTCGCCATAATTTAGATTCTCCTTGAGCAATTCTGAATATGTCTGTTTTCCTAGCTTGGACTTTCCTCGCCCCAGCATGAGCTTTAATGAAAGAACCTACAAGTATTTCAAAAGAGTCAATCGAATGCTCAGATAAAAGAGAGTACCATGTTAAAGCACCCTTTGTTAGAGTTTCGCCAAATATTTTTAGTAGGACGGATTCAACTCATGGGGGGCCAAATCATTTCCCTTCACAGACGTAGTGTAAGTTGTGATATGCTCTTGTGGATCGGAAGTTCCATCATACTTCAGAATATCGGTAATCTTGAATCTTTTTGGAATCAACTCCGGGGCCGCACTTGGTTTGAACGGTAACTGTGTATATTTCTTTGAATCAGGCCCCTTTAATATATTGGTGGTGCTCCCGGGATCTGATCCATCCGAGCATAAAATTCTTTAGCATTTTGATCCATTCGTTTATTCATTTCCCTCATGAATATCACGAGCTCGATTTTGAAAGGATTATTTGTATTGTCATTTTTTTCGGATCCACTACCTGCACCACCTGCTTGATTTTCATTAAAACTAAACTCCTCCCTCGAGGTGACGTTATCGGTTCTTTGTGCTATTTGATTTGCAGGCATGCCGGGAGGGGCTCGAACCCCTCCATTGGAATTATTGGAAGCAACCAAAAGTGCTTGCTTCTGCTCCGTCATTACACGGTCTTGTTTTGAGAGATGATTCATGATTTTCCTTTGTTGCGCTCTCAAAACTTTTACCGTTTCAACGACAAGTTCATCATCCATCAGGAGTTGGACTTCTCACATGCCGAGGATTTCGTTCTTCGCATACCGGAGTTGTCTCATCTCCTTCGTTACGAGTTTCACTGGTTGAATCATGACGCTGGAATATATCCTCACGCTCGTTGTTTGTTCCAACATTGAAAGAGTTGTTCACATCGTTAGTTGCCATATCTGATTTTTCTTT